ACGTAAATCAAGATAATACAATCGCAGCTCTAAAAACAGAATCGAGTGAATGGAGGAGCTAAATGCTGGCCCAGCGAAAAGGAGGAGATCTTCTATCCCAAACCACAAACCACCATAAAACGTTTTTATGACGTGCATTTTCAAAGCCCAAGCCAAACAAGAAGTCAACTTTTGTAATCTTTATGGCAGATAATGTCAAATCCATCCGTCTGAGTTGGCCGAGGAGAATACGTAGCCTGTGAAATGGGCATGGGCCCCCGCCCACTTACTACTCACTTGTGATATCTTATCTTTGGCCCAGTCCGACAAATTGTTTGGGTCATTGAAATTGATTATTGACATTTTCCAATCGTATTTCTCACTTTTTCCTCACTCTTTGAAGAAGTTTTGATCAATGAATTATCTGCTCCACTTGTTTTGGGATTAAAGGAAGAAATTTTTTTAAATGATGTAATAAACAAACAAATGTATTTAAAAAAGGTCTATGCCAATGCTTTAAAATAAACAAAAATGAACTGTTTTACATTTAAAGTTTTATAGCTTTTAGTTGTATCTGAATTGAATTATTTTTATTTTTTATATGAGTAAAAGTATACGGCGGCCTTACTTTTAGAGGCCATAAGTTGATTAAACATACTTTAATATGATTAAAAATAATTTGTATTTGCCAGTTATGGCACATCTTCAAATTCAATCAATATTTTTAAATAAAGCCCATGTTTTTCAGATTTTCCGTTGCTCTTTGGAAAATCGTATAACATTTAACTTTATTTCATTAGGCAATAGAACTTGGTGCTGTAGCAGTCAACTTTTTGACAAGGACAAGGATTCTTGTGTGGGTGAGAGAGAAATAGAGCGAACTATCGAATATCGATAGACCTCCGCCATTTTTAGTCGCGTGCGCAGTTTTTTTCGTCGGCAAAGAAAGTTGTGGTTTTTTGTGATAATTAAGTGGTTATAACAGAGCAAAAGTGGTGAAAAGTGTTAGTGCAAGTGCGGGGAACGCGTGGATTATGGTAGTTTAACTTCACACTCTAAACCTAGCCATTTTTTCAACTTTTCGTTTTCGCATTTTGGCAGCAAGTTAATGCTCACCAATACCATTGCGCTTCCTTTGTGTGTGTAAGTGAAAGAGCAGAACTACCGAAATTACAGTTGTTTCGAAATAATAATACAAGAATGATATAAAAAGCAACTGGTTATAGCTTTGTACAAATGTTATACAAAACTACAGGTAAACGAAAATTAAAGAGAACCCATTCCTTAATAGATAATAAATAAAGGCAATTTTGAAATCGTGACGATATTGTATTTATTTATTTCTTATACAAAAATCTCATATATAAATAAATAAAATAAAATTAAATAAATAATATTTAGGTAGTGGAATATTAAAATACCAATTTCCCTATTACAAAAATGTTTAGTTTCTTGTTTATTGAAGCAACACAAAAAATATTTTTAAAAATTTAAACCTTTTCTCTTGATTTGTTTAATGTTTAAATAAATTAAATCAAGCTTCTTTGAGGCAACCTGTCAGCACTAATTGATTTCTGGGAATTTGATAAACGTTGGGCATTCGTTAAACCCTTTGCTCTATTCAAAGTTCAGTGTTCCTTTTTCCCCTTATTTTCCCGACTCTAGATTAAAATACCCCTCAACCGGAGGCTCTTTAAGCCCCAAACTTTAAGCATTCAACATGTGCACAAAAAGCCGCAGGACAGTCCGCCCATCGAGGATATGTGGCCGGGGTCCTTGTGTTTGTGTAAACTTCGCATTCAATTGAAACCAGCGGACACGAGGTGGATGGGAAAACGCCGGCGACGCAACTTTGTGTGCAATGAATTTTTTAAAGCTCAATTTTAATCAATAGCTTAATGCTTTATTTATAAACAAACAATTTAAGCCCCCTTGCCCGCTTTTCAGCCCCTCGAGCAACATGTTCTGCTGTCATAATCAGCGGCAATGGGGTGGGAGGTGCGTGGGGGATGTCCTGGTGGGAGGACGAAGGATGGGAGGCTGGGAGGGGACTTACCTGCTCCCATGTGTAAAACAAAGGCAAGGACACGGCCAACGAAGCAGGCCAGGATCCCAAAAACATTACCCACACTCGCAAAAAACTTTTGATGAACTCTTGAACCCCAAAGCATTATAGATTTGCTAAAAATTGCTAACAGTTTCAGGAAAACAAGTCGTTTAAATGTCAATTAATGTACAGTAAAACGTATAATTTAACCCTAAATCACATTTTATTAAATTTGAAATATTTTTTTCAAGTGCCACAACTTAGGAAACTTGCCTTGACCATTTAAAACTTTTACATAATCGGTTGGCATGGGCACTTCAATAAAATTAGCATAACGAGCCTCGAGTGATCCCCTCCTCAGAAAACCCCTTTCCAAAGGCCTACGTCCATGGCAGCTGATGGGTGGGAAATGAAACAAAAACGAAGAAGAGCTGCGAAAAAAAGGAAAATCGGCAAGTGTCAAACTGATTTTCGATGTCCGAGAGGGGAAAATCTTTTGCATTCTGCGAGTTTCTCTGAACGCCGGACAACATTTTCCGACAGTTGAAAGAGCAATGGGGAAGTACGCCACACCCACCCGCACCTCCCCGCCCACATGTGAGGTGCAATGGGAGATGGATGGAGAGAAAGAGAGATAGGAGAGAGAGGAGAGAGCGAGAAAACTCACTCGCATTCTGTGGGCATTTTCATTAATCGAAAATTTCGCGCCAAATTTCTCTTTTTGTCAGTGCAAGGAAAAGCAGTGAGTTTAGGCTCCCAGTACAGTGGTACTTCAAAAGGTATTTTTAAGACAACGATATACCTACCTATTGAATCAAATAAAATATTTTGATAATAGTGTAAAAGTACATAAATGTATCTATTCTATCACTGCTTTTTAACAAAACGTATTGCATACCTAAAGGAGTTTGTTAGACTCTCATTGAAGACCCCATTTTCCCCAAAAATTTTATAAGAAAAGAAAACTAAATGCACAGCAAAATCCCTTCAAACGGGGTTTGTGAAATACAAATCCAAAATGTTACATTTATTGTTAATCAAATATATATTTTCTGAAGGGTTTTTGTTTATCATTTCCTATAACGTAGTTCTTTCCCGAACAGTCTGTGAACTCAATCGATATTTATTCCGCTCCCCACTAGGATTTCCCTTTCTCTAGACCAGCTTCTACCATCCCACATCGGCTGTTCGGGTCTCTCTTCGGGACCCACCCATCAGGAACCCACCGCCCCAACGTCCTTTATTCTGTTTGAGGTAGGCATGTAACGCAGCCTCCCCTTTTTGGTGTTGTTCCTGTGACTGCGATTGTTGTTGTTGTTCCTGAGCGCCGTACACTGAAAATCCCGGACGGGGCCATGTAAGTTGTAACCCGTAAACCGCCCCGTGAGGAGTGACCATATAGGGAGGAGATATAACACGGTTAGGGAGTGTACACTGCTCCAGTTGCAGTTTGGCAGGGGTTTGGGAAGGGAAATAGGTTTTGGGATAGGCCCGGTACAGTCTGTGCTAATGTAATTAGTCAAACGGTAATTTGTTGTGATTCAAAACGGATGTTTTGGGGGATGTATTTCGGGACTCCTTGTAACGGCACATGTTCCATGTTCGATTAAAGGATTTTGAACATTTTGCTTCTTGTTGTTTAAGTAATTTTGGTTATTATTTAACTCCACCTTCTACTTTAAGTTGTCCGTTTTAATTATTTCGGTTATAGGACATCTTTTGTTTCCCTTTGAAAGTGGACTTTGTTTTTAGCTCTTCAAATAATCAGAGCAGACATTCCTTTCCTTGCCTGATATCCTGATAGATTTTGAGGTTGTCCTATTTTATTTATTACCTCCCAACCAACATTATATTATTAGATGCCGGTCTCAATTATGCGATCCCATTCAAGCGCTCCTCCTGCAAAATCCAAGTTTTTCCGGTAGGAGGGATAATTTTATCTATTTCATTACCTATTAATATCTTTTGGCTGAATCGGGGCCATATGCCTGTCGCGCCCTATGCCATCCCATCAGTTTTTAATATTTTCCCAAGCATTTCGATATTCCAGACAGTCCGAAAATCGCGTCAAATCGTGCACCTTTTCGAATTCCCACCGCCTATTGAATTCCCAATCAATTTGAACTTATCGATTCCGCAAATATTAACCAGGCATCAAGAAGTCGCACCCAAGTGGATTCGCGTAGCGCCCGAAAGGGATTCATTCATGGGAAGTTGGCCGTTTTCAGTTTGCGATTCGGGACTCGTGATTCCCAGTTTTCGCAGTTTTGCCTGCGGGAGGTTGTAATATCGCCACCTTTTCGGTCTCTGGGCGCCGCTGACTTTGAACGCTTATCTTGTAATTATGGCGAGGGATGGGGCGGGGTCCTGGTACAGATTTTCGAAGGCCTCTCTTCTTCCACTAGAGAAGAGGAGAGAAAAATTGGGATTGGGATTGGGATTGGGGTTGGGGTCTCAGGACCTGTAAAACAGAGAGAGCCAGAGAGCTTTCGCGGCGCGCCGAAATGCCAAATGGAATTCGGATGCGAAGGATGGGATGCGAAAGCCTTTTCGACAGCCTCACTGTGAATCGAGTGCAATGCCCTGCTTAAAACGCACACAGATACTCACCCACACATACACAAAATCGCAGGACGCACACAAACACACACAGGGGCAGGTCCTGTGCGCCTGTCTTGGTGCCCGTGCTTATAAAGCAATCCCGAAATTTCAACCCCCAGAAAAGCCAAGCGCACATCCAAAAACCAAAAAAAGCCAGCCAACGAAGTTCACAGCAAAGTGGGAATGCTGCAGAAGGATGTTATTATCGAACAGGTTGCTACCCTGGAAATTTCACAGGATAACTGGTTTTAGTCGGATAACATGTTGAAATTTAGTGGTACTAAATTTGTATATTTATATTTTGCTTGTGTATATTTTAATTTGTATTATTATTTATGACGACCCAATTTAATTGTGTTTTTTTTCTTTTCAGATTACAATTATGTGTCTGGTGAGTTAATCTTCATCTTATATTTTGAATTCATTATAATATTATATCACATTAACACACTCTTGAAATTTTTACTTATATACATCACATTATATCATATGCTTATTGTTTTTTCCTGTTTACTTGGCTTAGTCTTGATAGAAATAGTAAATGAGCAATGTAATTTTAATTTTTTGCAGTGTGATACAATTATAAATTAAAATTCTAGTGAACGATCTATATATGTATCATATATCTGGCCCGAAGGATCAGAACGCTTAGTCGCCGAACTAAATACAGGGTAGGGAAAGCACCAAAAATTCCAGACAACTAAAAGCTTTCATGAGAAACTAACGAAGGCAAACGGCAGTAGTGGGGGTCTGTGGATGGGGCGTCAGTGGGAGCTGGCAGATGATTAGGGCAGATGTCGTTTTTCGTGAGGGGGTGGCAGAGCATCCAGTGGCCCAACCCCCCGACGTTCTATGTTCTTTTACTATATATATCCCCTTACCGTTCTGCAGCAGACGTCTTTATGGCCGTCGCCGCTGTTGTTTTCCACGCTCGTTGACGACTGTACTTTGGTCGCCTGTTCCCGCCGGTGGCTCCTTCTTACTCCTGGTTTCTGGGAGGACAGGAGGACCCTTTCCTTCGATGTGCTGTCCCATTTTTGTGAGCCTGTGAGCCGGTCGTGCCACGCCCCTATATTAATGCCACAGACAGGCTCCTCCATAACAATTGATTTCCTTATTTATTCATGCGACACCCACCCGGCTCAACTCACCCAATTCGCATCCTTTGGCTCGTTGACTCCGTCTTAACGGAGTTTTATTGCTTTCGGATTGTCGTCAATAGGTGTACTTGTCTATGAAGTGCAGGGCTGGGTAGTGGAGGGTGCAGGTAGTAGGCATAAAGGAGACTTGTTGTCATGGTTGTTAATCCCTCGCCCAGACAAGCTGCGACGGAGTCCTTGGAGTGGACCAAAAACTCCACTTCAGGGTCAATAACATTCTGTCGGATTGTAATTAACAAAGGAAATAAGTTATTCCATCACTCGAGTGGTCTTCCACTTGAGGCGAAATTGAAAGACTTGTTGAAACAATTTCGCAGAATTCTCCAGACTTTTGTTTCATTTCCACTGTTCGTTAATATTAGGGAAATCTCTGAAAAGAAAAGCTTGAAACGAACAGGTAAAGTAGTAATCAACAAGGAAAACTTACAAAAATATTTCAACAAATTTTTAAGAACTTGCCAGAGCTCTTTGGCCAAAACTTTGGTTTCCTTTCCATTGTTTCACTTGACGCAAACAAAAAAAGGGGAAAACCCTAGGAAAATCATATTAACAGCAACCGCAAAGAGAAGAAAAAAGGTGGATGTAGCAAAAAATCCCGTGGCGCCTTTGATGAAAGGGTTAGAAAAAGCAAACAGCAAAAACAAAGAAAGAGTTTTCCAGTTTCCCGGGCAGGGGATGCATTGGGTGGGTGGGTGTACGGGTTTGCCTATGGAGGCATAGAGTGGCGGTGGTAATGCTGCTGGTCCTGCGCTGACTGGTAATAACCCGATCCCATTCACGTTGCCATGCTGCAAAAATAGGAAAATGTCAAATGAAGCGCGCGCGTTTTGCATGTCAAAGAGTGAAGGTTGTTGGGTTCGGGGCTTTTATTTAGGGGAGCTTGAGCTTCATAAGAGGTCCTGGATCCTGGAGAGCCTTCAATGGCCCTCGACGCTGTGAATCTCCGCGGCTGAAGGAGTTTGCATTGACACTTGACTTTAAATTGAGCGAATGTTGTTTTCCGCTCTTCCGAAGAAAGAAAGCGAGCAAAAAATCGTTGCATATTTAGCAGGGCAAGGAAGGAGGCGTCCATAAATGTGAGTTACGTACAGGAAGGAAGGAAGGCGGGCGCCACTAAAATTTAATGCAATTTGTTTTTTAAGGATATGCAGCTCTTGACCTGCTCTGCTCCCCCCAGGAACTGAGCAAAGTTTCCTTCCTCACCTTTTTGTTTTCCTGCTGTTTTCTTATTGCCACTTTTTCCCCGTTTTACCACGCTGAGGACTTAGGGGGCGTGGCACGTGCCGGCCAATATACAAAATGCAGTTTAGGGCTTATGAACTTAACTTTGATGGGATTTGCACTTGCCAGGATAGCGAGTTGAATCCTTGAGTTGTTCGTGGGTAGGAGAAGAGCGAAGAAATCGGAAATTAATCCAATACGTAACTTTCCTATTCGTAAAAACTTGGTATTATCGAAATCTCAGTCTTTAAGTTAGAACAAACATGCTTGTATAATCCCTACACTTTAAATCTTAAAATCAACTCACCCATTACACTCTAAACTAATTAATATCTTTAGACATCACATTATCTTGAAAAACCCAACATATAAACGGCAAAGTGCTGTGCCCCTGAAATTAGTAACCGTTAAATTTCGAAATTCCTTTGAATTTGCCTGCATCTTGAAGAGCAAGACAATTGAGCCGGTCAACGACTCGCGGCTTCCTCCTTGAACTCGGGATCGTTCGGGATGGTATATGGTTTATGGTATATGGTATGCTATGCTGCCACTGATTCACTTCTGATTCCAGCTCAAGTCCCGAGTCAGAGTCGAAGTCAAAGTCCCAGGTCCCACTGATCACCGACGAATTTTTGTTAATGCGCCGAAAGCGGCGAAGCTTTTGTCATGTTTTTTTCGCCTTGTTTCTTTATTTTTCCTGCTCGCTGCTCTGTGTGTGCCTTAACTGACTAATTTTGTGGCTGGAGTTCAATGTATTCCATAAATTTCGACTAAACGTTCAAGGACAATGCGTATCGAGTGTTTGCGGAGGTGGAGCGTCGGAGGGGGCTGGCGGTATGTTTGTTTGGGAATTATGTTTGGCTTTATAAATGAATTGATTGAGAGGGCAAGGAGAAAAACCGGGAAGAAACACAACACCGAAAGCGAAAGCAAAACGAACAAACTGCAAGTCCCATTTTCGAGCTGACATTTTGTGAATACCCTTAAATACGATCATTGCTTTGGAGATTATGAATGAGTCTTTCGTGTTAATGAAGTTATCTAGAAAAAGGTCTAAGAAATAATGTCTATGCTAGAGATTTTTCCGGGAACAATGCACTTGTTTAGGTAATTACCAAGCGTCATTACTTTTTAGCTTCGGCTTAGATTGCTACGTTTCCACTTCTCTGATCGTTGACTCTTTATCGAGGGTGAGGAAGATCGTTAAACTCGATGGCAGCGGAAGTCATAACGGTCAATGCTGCATATCGGGGATTAGAAAGGAAAGGGCGAAGAATTGCGGGGCAGAATTAAGAGAGAGGAAGCCATTCTCCAGACCAATCCGAAGAATGATTTATGCCTCTTGTGCAGTTTCTGCTTGGGGTCTCTTTGACTCGCTTAGCGCCATGTCTGGGGTGTCGTCTGCGCCCCTTAAAAAGCGAAAAAAGACTGCATACGACGATCAGTACCCCTCCGCTTCTTCTGGCTTTCTGGTTTCATTGAGCGCTGAGTATCGGCAATCAGTAATTAATGGCTCTGTCAGTTCGCAGTCTTCTCTTCTCGGACCCAGCCCAAGATCCAAGTCTTGAGACCTCAGTCTCCAGTCCCTAGTCCCCATTCGCAGTGCCCCACAACATGTGTATATAATTTTTGATTCTTTGCATTTTGTCTGCGATCTTCAGTTTGCCATTTTCCCCCCGATTCTCTTCCTCTTCTTCTCCGTCCTCTGCCCGATCAAATGCTGGAATTTCGTTGATAGCGCCGCCAACCGCCAAACATCCTGTTGTTTTTCAGATACTGCCTGAATGTCTGAATGTTGATGGGGTATATCGAACCAGTGAAACGATATTTAATTTTATCCTAAAATCCAAGGTTCTGGTGTAATATTATATGTGGATCCGCTCTTCTTGACATATCTGTATCTCTATCTTTATATAGACCCTACTTCTTTGTTCAATTATATCTACCTCATTATTTCAAGAACGGCTTTGATCCTATCCTATATTTTACTCAGAAATGTTGATGTGGTATACCGAACTAGAGATACGATATTAAATTATATCATAAAACCCAAGGTTCTTGTGTGATGTTAAATGTGGAACCGCACTATCCTTTAATTTAATGATTTATGGAAACAGCAGAAACAATTTGTATGTTTGAAAGCTCATAAGATTGCTAAATCAATAATAAATCAAGGCTTTCGTTCTAAATCGTATGAATCCTATAAATAAATCCGATAAATTAACAACCACTTGTAAAAAAGTTACCATGGAAGCTTTCCTACTTCTTGGGTAACTTTGAGTCGATCCTTTTGCCGATCGGCTTTCTTGTTTGCCTTGCTGTGTTTTTTTTTGCTGCTCGCTCTTGTTGTTGTAGCCTCGATTGTGTCTTTTGGTCTTCGTTTGGCATTTTGCGAACGTCTGCACGTCTGCATATCTGACTTCCGTGGCCGGAGGAGGGTTCCCAGGGGCTGCGAGGGGGGTGCCAGGGGGCAGACGTTAGAGCATTTGGTTGCTATTTTTAATGTTGACACGTTTGAAGATCGTTGACTCTCGCGCAGACGGTCAATGTCCACTTGGCCACCAGACGAAGCATCAGCTCAGCACCAAGAAATGACAAAGACGAGGGAATTCTGCATTGGAAATGTGAAATATGTGCGCATTTTTTCCTGCCGGTCTCGGTCTGGCGATGACAGAAGCTGGAGCTCTTTTTTGGAGGAGCTAGAACTGGATCCCGAAAGGAATCGTGGCTTCAGGAGAATCGTGTGCGAGCATCGAGAACAATGCGAGAGACTGGTTGAGACCCAAAAGCTCAATAGATCTACTATCGATCACGATCGGCATTGACTGAACAAATAGATCAGCAGTAAGCAAAATATTAAGAAGAGCGAAGAGGCTTCTTCCCTTTGGAAAAGATCACAGAGTTATACTGAGTGAGAGTTGGCTATAGTTTGAATGGGGTTTATCAAGGTCACCAAAGTTATCCATAAGCAAATGGTTTGAGGAGTAATTTAACTTCGATTTCATTCTGA